TAGTGCTTCTTCGATCTTCCTTATCTCCACATCAATCAGCATATGAATAACAAATAACCATAGCTTCTTTACTTTATTAGTCTTGTCGAAATAGAATTCCATAGTTTGTCAATTCTTTTAAGTATCTCAATATTCTTCTTGCATCCTTCATGTATGACACTCTTGGTTCACTCATGTATCTGCTCACTAATTCGATTGAGAAACATATATCAGTTTGAATGTTGCATACATATCTCAGAGATCCAACAATTTATTTGAACAAAGTTGCACCAATTTGTCTTCATCTACATGCTTCTCCAACTTCAAGTTTGGTTTGATAGGTGAAGATGCAGGAGTCAAATCATCCATCCTGAATCTCTTGAGTATCTCCTTGACATACTTTTTTGGATGTAGCATCATACCTTACTTCGACATTTGAAATTCCATGCCTAGGAGGTACAAAAACTTTCCCAGATCCGACATTTCAAATTCCTTTTTCATCAGCTCTTTGAACTTTGACAAGTTCTTCAAGCTACTTCCAATTACTAACAATTCATCGACATATAAGCAAATGATAGTTATATCATATGCCACAACCTGAACATAGACCTCATACTCAGATTTTCATTTGACGAATCTCGATTCGACCAAGTATGAGTCGATCTTTTTGTTTCATGCCTTAGCTTACTGCTTGAGACCATATAGCGCTTTGTAAAAATTGTATACTTTCCTTGCTTCCTCCTGAATCACAAACCCAGGAAATTATGTGACATACACCTCTTCATCTAAAGGTCCATTTAAAAATGCATATTTCACATCTAAGTAAAATGTCGGGTAGCCTTGATTGTATGCAAATGCTACCACTATTCGTACAGTTTTCGATGTTGCGAAGGGTGCAAATACTTCGGAGTAGTTAAGTCCTATTCTCTAAAGAAATCCTCGACCTACCAATCTCACCTTATGTCTTTCTACTGACCCATTAGCATTATGCTTCAACTTGAATACCCACTTCACCTGATGTCTTTCAATTGCTTGTAACTCTTCGACCATAGCATACTTCCAGTGTTTATCTTTAAAGGCTTTGTTATAGTTGATTGGTTCAACGCATGCAAGTAAAGCAAAATGAACTAGTTCTCCATCTGTTGTTACTTCATCATCACCAACCACTTCATAGTCTTGAAGTCTTGCTGGACGAGCTCTAGTTCTTTTAGGTCTCTGGCTCGTTCCAGCCATATCCTCTTCGATTGTTTCGGGTATGTCAACAACAACTTCGACTTTAACTGGAATATTGATAATATCTTCAACTTCGACATCATTACTTGCTTCGTCGAAATCATAGCTCATCAATAACTTGTTAATTGAATTACTGGAATTCCAATCCGAGGCAGAGTTCTCATCAATCACAATGTCTCGACTCATCGTGATCTTATTGCTCATTGGATTGAATAGCTTGTATGCTCCAGTCTTATGATATCCTACCAAATTCATAGGTTCACTATTCTCATCAAGCTTCCTTCTTCTTGCATCAAGAACATGCTTATAGCAAATAAATCCAAACACCTTCAAATGACTCAATGATGGTTGTTTGACACTCCACACTTCTTCAAGAACCTTGTTCTTAAGCTTTTTGGTAAGGCACCTATTCAGAATATAAACAGCAGTAAAAAAACTTCACCCCATAAGGACTTGGGAAAATTCTTCTGCTTCAACATGCATCTCGTCATGTTCAATATGGTCATGTTTCTTCTTTCTACTATTCCATTATGTTGAGGAGTTTAAGGAGCAGTTACCTCATGATCAACACCATGTTCTGCACATAATGCTTCAAATATCTTGGATGTGTATTCGCCACCTCCATCTATTCACAAAACTTTTATTTTAGTCTCACTTTGGTTTTTGACAAGCATCTTGAATCTCTTAAAGATTTTGAATACTTTATCTTTTCTCTTGATCACATATATCCAAAAAATTCTACTAAACTCACCGACAAATGAAACAAAATACCTGTTTCCACCAATGGTATGCTCCTCAAAAAGACCATATACATATGAATGTACAACTTCGAGTATGCAGGATTATCTCATTGGCATAGTCGAAACAAAAGACTTCCAGGACTACTTTCCAACTAGACAACCTTCAAAAGTTTGTCAGGCATATTAAGACTTGGTATACTAGTTACCATATCTTGAGTGATCAGTTGATTGAATGACCTAAAGTTTAGATGAACAAACCTTAGATGCCATAACCAATTATTCTTATGGTCGACAACTCTTTTCAGACATTGTACCCCAATCGAACTGAGCATGGTCTTAAATGTTATATTCTTAGACATATGAGATTTCAAGACTAAGTTATTATGGATGTCGAAAATTTCTAAGGCTCATTTCATAACCAGTGAAAATCCTTTTTCGATCAGTTGTTCTGCACTTAGTAGATTGTATTTCATTTCGGGGACAAAGAATACATCTTTGATCAAGGCTTTTGCTTTATTACTCCTTTGAATAACTATGTTGCTAGTACCTTCTGCTTGCAACTAGCTATTATCAACATGTTTGACCTTGCTCTTCTTTGACTCGTCGAAATCTACTAACCATAATTTTTTACCAGTCATGTGATTTGAGCAGCCTGAGTCGAGGAATCAGATCCTATATTTGACATGGTCATCTGCAATTGCAACCATAACCACCATACCACCAGAATCATCTGAATCTTGACGTGCAAGGTTTGCTCCTTCGTCCTTACCTTTTGTCGATCCCTTGTCTTTCCAGTACCAACAATGCTTGGCCAAGTGACCCCACTTTTCACAATTGTAACATTACACACCTTTTTTTCTCTACTTTGTCTTTTTTAAAGGAATTTTCTTTTCCTCTTTTCGAGGATTTAGAAGTTCTATTATCAATCTTATTCTTGTGAGGGTTCAACTAAGACTTCTTGTCCTGAGTCTTGTCGATTTTTCCTTTGAACTTGTTGGAACTACCATTCGTCTTTCATGATTGAGCTTGTAGTGTTTGTATCGAGTCTTGAACTCCTTTCCTTTCGATAATCCTAATCCCATGCGCCTCTAACGAACCAACCAAATCTTATAGTTTTAGGGTTTCAAGATTGTCGGATTCTTGAATATCTATGATAACGTGATCAAAGTGAAAGGTTAACATACACATTACCTTCTCAACTATCATCTTATCAGTTAGGATTTCACCACAACCCTTCATGAGATGGACGAGTTTCTGCACCTTCGACACATAGCCTGCAATCTTTTTGTTTTCTCATATCGAAAATAATTCATATTATCGTCGCGAAGTTTGCAACTTGACAACCTTGACTTTCTCACCTCATTCATAGTACTTGACAAGAATATCTCATGCATCATTCGCTGATTCAGCATGAGCAATTTTATCAAAATTAGTCGCATCAACTGCCATTTGGATGTAAAACGCTAAATTACAATCCTACTTCATGGCATCCTTGTGAGCGATTCTCTATGCGTCGGTTGCATCTTCATCAAGCGTAGGAACACCGTTAGTAACCACTTATAGGGTTTCATGAAAGTGAAATAAAGATTGTGTTTGTTTTCTCCATCGAAGTCAATTGTTGACGTCAAGAGTTGGAAGAGAGTTTGGTAAATTTTTGTTACCATTCATCTTTGCAACGATTGATCAACAACAACCCACGATCTCGGAAACACGATCTCTGACGTGTGATTCTTAAAAACACGATCAAGAATCTAACCGGAACTCTATATACCAATTTGTTAGTGCGTGAGACATTTTTAGTGATGAGAGAAAGAAAGAATAAGAAAATAAGGATTGATACTATTGAAAATGAATAAAACTGAATTACAAAGTGTCTATTCATATACACCTAAATGACTTTACTACTAAATAAAATAACAAACAATATAACAAATCTTAAATCCTAATTAATTTCAAATTTGGACTACACAACTCAACTTAAATTATATCTAATATCTCAACCGTTACTCGATAACAATAATTATTTTCTTAGAAAAACTTCAAGGATATTTTGATAAAAGAAAATATTAAGGCATAGACATTTATTTTAAACATGATTAATTTTTCTAGAAATACAATTTTACGTAAATATATCATTCTTCGTACTCGTCTGTTCGCTTTTTTAATTCGCACACGTAAAAAATATAAATGATATTTTTGTATTTAATAATGAAAATTATTAATAAAAAGTTATGTAAAAGATGATAGTAGTTGTTCAATGAAAACTATTGTATAATTATGTAAGTTACACATTTTAAATTAAAGATAAAATTGGTAAAATAATTAGACTACACCAAAAATCAAATTTTACCTTTATATATACTATCGTTCAGACGGGCACGCACGTGTCCGTCTGTCCGCTTTTTATAATATTCACACATATAAAATAATTATATTATTATTTTAAATTAATTTTCATTTTATTATTTATTATTTTTAAAATAATAATAATAAATAATAGTATAAAAGATAATAATCCATCACATAACTACTATTTATTAAAAAGAGAAGTTAAGATTTAAAATAAAAATTATTAAAAAAATATATTTAAAAAAAAAACTACACTAAAATCATAAATATAGATTATATATTATTATAAATTATGAATATTATGTAAGCGTTCGAAGCAACAATTTAATTGCAAGAGACACAAATCCACGTACACCTAAATTTTACGAGTAACATTTTTTTCTTGAAAAAATTATTAAAAAAACAGAATACTATGATTTCTTTGTTTTCACCCGACCCGTTTTGTACTTATCTCCGAACCGTTTCGTACTGTTTCTCATATATAAATAATACTCATTCAGCGTTTTTTCCATTCCCTCGAGTCCCTTTTGCCAACAAGATTGGTGTTTTTGTTTTGAGTCTCTCTCACACGCAGATTCATCACCTACCCCCTCTGTCTCTCTCTATACATTCTTCTCTCTTTCCTCTTGTATTCTCCGCCTCCTATACTTTTTTTTCGAAACATTAATAGGGGTTTAGTTTATCACAAGGTTTTGAATAATGGGTAGGAAAGGAATCAGCAAAAGCAATCTCTTTGATGATAAAAGTGATGGTTTTTTCTCAATCTCCAATCTAGGGTCTCAGTGGGGTGATATAGGTCATTCTCAGGAACAAGGGTATTATCCTGTTGGTGGTTTATTTGCAAGCATGAGTCAAATGGGAATGGGGTTTGGTGGAGTTCCGCAACCAAAATCTCCGTCTTCTGGAAACTCATCCTCTCAACGAAACAATGGGATGAAGATTCCCTGCACTGAGCTGTACATTAGGTATGTTCAATCAGAAGGGAAGGTGAAGATTCTCGGTGTTCCTGATGAGGAGGAAGATGAAATAGTGGAAGGTGTTGAGAAAAAGAAAAAGGGTGATCTTAAGAAGTTTAAGGTCAAGGTGAAAAATCCTTCTTTGAGGAAGCTGATTAGTGGGGCTTTTGCTGGGGCTGTTTCTCGTACTGCTGTTGCGCCTTTGGAGACTATTAGGACTCATTTGATGGTTGGAAGTAGTGGTAATTCTAGTGGTGAGGTGTTTAATAACATCATGAATACTGATGGATGGAAAGGGTTGTTTAGGGGGAATCTTGTTAATGTTATAAGAGTTGCACCTAGCAAGGCTATTGAGGTAATATTAATGTTTATGTTTTTGTTATTTTCCTTGTTGTTTTTGTTTGATGCCATGGTGTTGAATGATTTTGTCTTCACTGATTTGATTGATTTCTGATCATTGTTGTCGATTGCTGTTAGCGGGAAATAGTTGTTTGGCTCAAGTGTGCTGACTAATAGCGATATTGACCGCCGCGATTTCACAGTGTTTTGTACTAAACAGCGTATCACGGAACAGTTGTGGCGCCGGTGTTTAGATCCTGCTGTGTAACTGTGCGCCCTAGCGTGCTGCTATTTCACAATGTTTAAATTCTGCTCAGCAATTGCGCCCGTAAACGCCATTTGTGCTTTTTTATATGGAAAGGGAGTTGAATCTATTGGATGGGTTTCTGTTTGTATTTTTGGAGGACCATTCAGATTTTAAATGTAATTGTTTTAAATTGTGGACCTCATTACCTGCTCGGCAAGGTTGTGGTTAGTGTTGCGGATCAACTGATGCGGCCACAATATTGTGGTGTGATTAGTAAAATGGCCGCGACATGAAATATGCATTTACTTGGCCACTACAAAATATTGTCTATAGCAGAAAATGGCGGTTTGCTCTAATTCTGCCACGCAACAGTGGTATAGTACTCTGCTATAGCTACCACTTCACAATATTTTGTACTGTACTAAATAGTATTAATGTGTCATAAAGCAATAGCGGGCGTATTTAAATTCTGCTCTGCAATTGCGCACGATATTTACAACACCATATTTTATTTATTGAAAAATCATTGGTTTTTGTATTTTTACATGGCATGAGAGTCGTTTCTTTTGGCTGGCTTTGTATTTTGCATTTTAGGAGGAGCATTCATAGGCTGTGGTTAATTTTGCGGTTACAGATTGCAGTGGTTTTTGCAACATCATCACCTTATGCAGCCACAATATTACGGTGCGACTAGTAAACGGCCACAACATAACAAATTTATTTACGCAGCAAGAACCACAATATGTATCACAACAGTCACAATGCCCGAAGTCGCTGTAGCCCCAACCGCAATTTAAAACACTTGAACAAACACACCTTCATTCTCAGCTGGTGATCTAGATTATGAAATCTAGATTTCATTTATATTTATCAAAAACAAGTAGGCATGTCGCGTGGTAAGATGGTAACGGTTTTACAAGTAAAGGACCTATTACCTTCGGTAGTCACGGGTTTATGTAACTGCTGTCTCGTTTGTCTCTTCTCTTCTACAATTTCTTTCATTCTAGGCATGCTGATTGAATGCTGATTCGTGAAACCGCATACATATACTATGTATTAATATTGACTATATAATATTTTTTTCTGCAGCTATTTGCTTATGATACCGTTAACAAGAACCTTTCATCAAAGCCGGGTGAAAAGCCTAAACTCCCGATTCCTGCATCGCTGATTGCAGGCGCTTGTGCTGGAGTTAGCTCAACTATTTGCACGTATCCTCTTGAATTACTCAAGACTAGATTAACTGTCCAGGTATGTATTTGCAAAACAAAACAACTTTACGTTTTTTTTTTCTTTTCATTTTTATCATTTAGCAAAACTTAAGGTCGATTGGTATTTTTGCAGAGAGATGTCTACAACGGTCTACTAGACGCATTTGTGAAAATAATTCGCGAGGAGGGTGCTTCAGAACTCTACAGAGGCCTTGCTCCTAGTCTCATTGGAGTCATTCCATATTCTGCCACCAATTACTTTGCTTACGACACTTTGAGAAAAGTGTACAAGAAAGTTTTTAAGCAAGAGAAGATCGGAAACATTGAAACCCTTTTAATAGGTTCTGCGGCTGGTGCTATTTCGAGTAGCGCTACTTTCCCGCTTGAAGTGGCTCGCAAGCAAATGCAAGTTGGAGCACTCAGCGGAAGACAGGTTTACAAGAATGTGATTCATGCGCTTGCGTGCATACTTGAGAAAGAAGGTATTCAAGGTTTGTATAGAGGATTAGGACCAAGCTGCATGAAGTTGGTTCCAGCGGCCGGAATCTCTTTCATGTGCTATGAAGCATGCAAGAGGATATTGGTAGAGGAAGAAGATGAGGAATAGAACGAGTAGTGCTGATTTATTATAATTCTTTCGAATTCGGTCAAATTATTTTGAATTTTTTAGTCTCGGGGTGGCTTTTAATAAGAAATTGAGAATGGCATAATAGTTTTGATATTTTTTTTAGTTCATCTGATACGCGCAACTGCCGAGATTAATTTTTTTTTTAAGGTAGAATAGATTCATTGGAAGAGTTAAGAACATGATCATCTATTGAAGATTGTATTATGAACATGTGCAATTTGTGAGTATGAGGTCAAATTTTCAAGTTTTGATGCAACATTTTTTTTTTATTATAGTCTAAATTTAAAGTATGATGTTACATGCCGAAGTGGAATCTTGAAAATATGCTCTTTCGACATTTAAATATTCAATGATGGGTGGAAAGATTGAAGTCTTCAAAATGGTAAGCTATAGTTTGAAAATAAAATAAGTTAAGAGTAAAATGAATCTGGTAAAGCAAAGCTGGCGAGTCCACTATAAAAAGAATTGTTAGATAAACAACAAAAAGAATAATATATAAGCTAAATTCCAAAATAAAGGTCTGTTTGACTTTGTTTCATCACAATAAAAGCAAAATATATAGTACCACCAAGATCCAATCATCCAATAAATAAAGTAGTTGTTGTATGTTTGAATTGAAAATCAAGGTGAGGAAGAATAAAGATGTTTACTATCATTACCATGCTGTTGTTAAATATAATGTAAAAATTGTTATCAACAGAGATATTGAATAAGGAAAGAGAGGAAAATGAATATAATGTAATTATAACTTATGAAGTAAGATGTAAATTAGGGTTTTAATAATATGAATATAATAAATTATGACTTATATAAATAAAATAAGATGTAAATTGGAGTTATAAAGAGAATATACAATAAAATATAAAAATTTAAATTATTTACAGTTCAACTATAAATAAATAGTTACTATATGTTATTATAAAGAGAATATATAATAAAACATAAAAAGATTAAACTATTCACAGTTCAATTATAAATAATAGCCACTACATATTATCAAATATCTACTCTCAAATTCATAGTTCATTAATATGAAGTATTTAGAGTGTGTGTGTGAGGGGGAGAGGGCGCGCGTGCGTGGGTGTGTGCATGTGTGTGTGTGTGTTTGTGTGTGCGTGTGCACGTGTTTGTGTTTGTGTCTGTGTGCGTGTGCGTGCATGTGCGCACTGTGTGTGTGCGCGCGCGTGCACGCGTGTGTGTGCTTGTGGGTGTCTGCGTGCGTATGTGTGAGCGTCCGTGCGCGCACTATGTGTTTGTGCGTGCGCGTGCGTGCGTGCATGTGTGTGAGAAACCGAAGAACCAATAAGAAGGGGAATAATAAATCAGGCGAGAAGCAATCAAATAGATTAACCGATTAAGAGAGGAGTAACTAAATAGAAGAACACACGAACACACACATGCGCACACAGAGTTAACCAAACAAAATAACTAATAAAAAGAGGAAGAATCAATGGAGAGAGAACTAACCAATAGGAACAGAGTCAACCAAAGTCATATATAATTCATTCATGTTCTTCATATGCACCAAAGTGGGAGACAACCGAGAACAATTTAGTGATTCAACATAAAAAAAATTCTTCAATAAACTTATCATTATAAAATCAAAACAAACACATTTTCAATTTTTTGGGAACTCAATAGCGGAAACAATAATTAGTTCAAAGAGGATCAAACTAAGCTCTAGATATCATATTAACAATACATATAACAAAGTAAGAAAGAAAGGAAGAGACTAAAGTTTCAATAATATGACATATGCAAATAAGAGAATATATAATAAGACATGAATATATTAAATTACTAATAGTCCAACTATAAGAAGAGACACATTATATATTATCTAACAAAAATGTAATGATATTTTTGTTGTGGGAGTTCACTAGGGACCATTAAACATTGTGGAACTTCTTTTCTAGAACAACACCTTTGTGAGAGACATGCCACATAGTCACCCAAAACCTTAAGGTGATAGGTGTGTGGATTCTCTCACTTATAAATGTTAAAGTCTCCACATTTTCAATCAATATGAGACTATTGCTCACACTACTCACACTTGCTACATTCTCAACACTCCTCAAGTGTGACTCCCACTACATTCACTAAGGAGCATTGAACATTGTGAAACTTTCTTTTTAGAGGACCATTGTGAGAGTGTTGATGCGGTAAAGCAGCAAGCAAAAAATAGTAAGTACCCAGTTTTGTCGTCTCCACAGGGATCAGTACGATATGAACGTCGTTCAACGATTTCTACATTTCTAAACTTATTGTTCAAAATGTTTGGGTTTAAAAGGTTCAAGGAACCATAAATAAAAACATAAAATATAAAATAAAGACTGAAATATAAACGGAGCCTTGTTGGGATTGGATTTCATCAATTGATAACACATGCATTCTTCTGATCAAATTAAACACAACGCAATCATTCATCTAATATCATCACGTATCACTCACAACAAAGCTTATCTCTAACGCGGCGTCGAGAGAACAACCGTGTTGTCTCATTGGTGATCTCTCACCCAACAAAAACACAACACAGAGCATTAGGAACTGATACTCACGCAAATGCTAAGCCCAAATATATCTCTAGCGTTTAGAACCTAACCGACAATCATCCTAGATCCAGATCCGAAAAGTATATCTCTATCACGATTCAAATCAAAGATTAATAGGTAAACAAGAATAACACTCATATCGGATAAACAATTGTTTTGCATAAAATACAATGATCAAAATACGTACACACACTTAACCCTTTTTACATGTATTCATCTAATCCGCCAAATGTCGGTGAACATCGTTCTTCATCACTATTATCACATACCCACACAATATCATGTTGATCCTATCCATGCTACTTAATAAACACAACACCATAGAAGATACAATGAATATCAACTTCAAAACCATGTCAAAAGTTTTTCCATTGATAGAAGAAAATCTGAGATCAAAGATGTGAAAAGGTTTTGTCAAGACCCACAAATACATAATCAAAGATATTCAATCAATAGAGAATCCAAAATAAGTTCACAAACATATATTAGATGAAATACATAAGGTATCAAAAGATTACAATTCAAACCCCAACAAGAGATCGAAGATCTTACCTCCTCCCCCTTAGGGTTTTGTGTTTCTCTCTCTAGAAGAAATGAAGAAAAATAAGTTCGAATGTCTAGAATGGAAAAAAAATACAAGTTATGACCTAAAAATACAAGAAAATAACTTAAATAGACATTCAGGATTTGTCACGTTCGCCTAGCGAACAGCTAGCGAACAACTCGCTTCTTCATTCGCTCTAGCGAAGTTTGATATTTTTGGCTCTGTCCAATTCTGGGCTCGTTCGCTACCTGTTCGCCTAGCGATCAAGCTAGCGAGTTATTCGCTACCTGTTCGCTAACTGCTCGCCTAGCGAGCATGACAACATTTTGCCACTGGAAGTGTTCGCTGGAGACTCGCTGCGCCTTCACCTAGCGAGTGCTCGCTACTCCCTCGCTGCATCTTCGCCTAGCGAGCTTGCTGTTCGTTTGCTTGCTTTCTTGGTTCCTTTGCCCATTTATTGTGTCTTACTTTTCATTTGTTTTGTGCCTAAATCCTGCACAATAACACACAAATCAAAGGTACCAAGAGATTTTCTCATAATGTTGCAAACCAACCAAAATAAGAGTGGTTTTCAACACTTTCATGACAAAAATGAGTGAAAAATGCCAACATTAGATAGATCAAATAAGTGAAATTTGGCATCTAACAAAGAGACATACCACATATTCACCTAAAACTGTAATGTGATTGGTGTGTGGATTCTCCCACTTGTAAATGTTCAAGTCTCTATATTTTCAACCGATGTGGGACTATTATCCACACTACTCACACTTGCTACATTCTCAACGGTTTTAAGCTATAAATATCATTTTAAAACAAAAAAAAAAATCAAAATTTTTTGACAAAAAGAAAATCAGTATTTAAAAGTTAAAAAACATAGACAAAAAATCTCTATCAATACATAATTCTAATATTATCGACAACAAATATTAAAAGTCTTATGAAAAACAGATAGCACACTATATTATGTAATTTTAAAATAAAAGACCATGTATTTTACGTGTCTAAATAAAAGTATTACTACTACAAATAACGCTTATAACATCGCACGTAAAAGAGATGTAACCTCAGGTACTGAGACGACATAACAAATGGTGATATAAAAAAGGTCACTTAACACCTCGGTTATTGAAAAAACAAGGGGTAAAGTTATATGATTATGGATTTGAATAATAGCACATATAACTTTACCCCAGCATGTGTATTTTATTATTTACAAAAACAACACTTCATACCTCTTGGTTTATTTAAAATTCGAGAGATAGATAATTTGTTTGTCTTTTTTAAATAAAACTCATTACATTATTTATATATAATATTAATAAATTAATTTGTTTATGAGTTACATTATTTACACGTAATATTACATTGTTTACACAAAATATTGTTGCGGTGAGAATCGTGATACCAAGCTATTGATTAACTTGAATCTTTAATTCTTAAATTCACAACCGGACTTTAATTTATCCAAAAAAGGAAAGGTTTAAAGAAAGAAAAACCTATAAAATTGCAAAGCAAAAAAGCAAGGCTTAAAGCTAAGCAAAGAGAGATCTAAAGGTTCGGGAGTTGGTTATGCCTAGGGTAGGTATTTCACATCCTAAACATCTGTAGTACTCTACAGGAACCTCTTGTTAATATTTGTGTTTGCTAAAGTTTGCTTGCTAAAGGAAATGTGCTAAGGGTAAAGATATAAAGGTTGAAACAAAGGAAAAAAGAAAAGGTTGGAAAAAAAGAAAAAAGAAAAAGGTTGCTCGCCAAGGATCGGGGCCTTGTGCCTACGTATTCTCAAAAGGTACTTTGAGAAATCAGAGCGTTCGTAGTTCCCCTAACTAAGGGGTGAAGAACTCTTATGTTAAATGGAAGGGAATGTCTACGTCGGGACG